TCTTTTTCAGTTCTGTGTTATGCATCTTTAGTTGATGAAAGTAATGGTGGTGTGATTCTCATTGTAATTTGTGCAATATTCCAGTCAATAATAGTATTGTGTTGAAATATGCATTAAAAAGTCCATAACTAGTGTAATGGACACACTCCAACACATCTCTTTGGTCTGGTTTCCTCATAAAGATACTAAATTACTGTCTTAATTAGATCCTAATATTAACAGGAATATTACATGCTAAATGAGGACATAAAATTCAGCTGAAAGCTACTTCCATCCAAGCCCCTGCCCCCTGGTCTGCACACACCAAATCCTTCTAGAACATTTTCATTCTCCATCTTGGTTCCACTGACCACTCTTTTTTAGGCTTTTAGCAACAAATTATTATTTTTTCCCCAACAAAAGCTTTCAAATATGTCAGAAAAAACAAGAAATTACCTTGCTCAGATTTGATTCGCAATAATCTTGATTACTGCCCTGGCATTTCTTCGATTGAAGCACTGGGAAACTAATGAGACAACCTACAATACTGTAGATTAGCTTGGTCACTTCCCTCTCTTCTTTTGTTTTATAATGTTGCTGATTTTGTCCCCATGAGGCGTTACAGAGGAGTTCAAACAGAAGTCTACTGCTGAAGGCCACTGAACACCTTCTCCATTCATTAACAACCAAGAAGCTACTTTGAACCCTTGAAGTAGCATCCAAACACCCCTTCTACAGCTGAACCATTACAGTCATTCCTGTAAAGAAGATACATGTACAAAGTTCTGGCAAAGCAGCCCCAGTTAGATCAGTCAGGATCTTCCTTACGCCATCATGAAGACCAAGCGGAGAGTTGTGCCTGCATTGTTCTAATAAGTTTCCCCTTTCGTTTCCATATCACAGCATGCTCAGTAAAAGCTATTTTGGTGCTTCACTGATCAAACTGATTTTTCCCTTTGATGATAATACAAAATATGATAGGATAATGGGGTTGTTATATAATCAAACTCGACAGCAGGGAGCTAAATTTGTGTTGTTTTGATGAAGAGCACATTAGTGTGACATAAATAGACTAATCTGATTTATTATTATTATTTCTAATGCTTAATAATAGGGAAGGGTAGGGGAAATGAGACTCCAGGGACTGAGAGTGCATCACAAAGTGATAGCAGACACCTGCGTGCTACGGAAACACAGGTTAGGTATTTTGGATATTAGGATGTCTTGTCATAAGCAGCGTCACTACTACCTGCCTCTAGCTGAATTTCAAAAGAGTGAGCAGCAAGCAAGAGAGGTTTAACTGAAAGAAATAATGTCTTAAGTGGAATAAACCTAATAATGTGCCAGGGAAAATATTCTGTGAAAAGCAGTGTCGTGGGAAGAAAACCGGTATTCATGTAGACTAATAAGAAGTCAGAGACAGAGCAGACAAAAATCGGCTCACCTTTCACCGACTGATTTTTCACATGCAACTGAGAAGCTGGGATTAACCTTGGAAAAAAGCTCCTCTTTCATGATACTGTCCATTCCAGTTCCAGGCAGCCCACTCAAGAACCACAAAAACAACAAAAGAGAGAGGCATATTGTCCCTGGTGTGGTACTGATGTGTACACATCAGAGTTCTGGCAGTTGCGGCTGCTCGCAAAGCACGGTCCTGCAAGAGCTCAGGAAAACGCCTGAATGCATGCAGGCTTGCGAAGGAAATATCTTGCCACTTTAAAATCTCATGTGTAACAAAAATATAGATTGGACAGAACTGCAGGTTCTTCCAGCAGAAAATTAAAATAAATAAACATATTTTAAAATCCTAAGGAATGCAGATACATTTTAGCAAAACAGTTTCCCACATACACGCTCATTACAGCTTTTAGACTTAAAATGTCGCTATGGACATCTACTCTGGCTCCTTCAGATCAACATACACAGATTTCTTCAACCACATCCATATACTTCGACTAAGCTAAAGCAGAGCTTTTATAAAGTCATTGAGTTTTAATGCAAAGACTCTAAATGGCAGATAACCCATGACATGACGAGGTAAGTTGTTCCCCTGGTTAAATACCCCATGTATTAAAATTTACTCTTCAGTTATGGTTCCAGAGGGAAGACTTAGCAACAAATCAACTAGAGTATGTAACAGCTTTGAACTTCTGGAGTTCAACATGATTTATACAACATTTAAAGATTATTTTTATATGCAGCAGAAATAGAATTTTCCTCTTTTCTTAAAGGCAATAAAAGGAAAAGGCTAATCAATATTTTATGTGATGTTAGTTTTTTTCACAAAACTGTTTAAATTTTTTGCTAAAAGTCCTGTTACCAAAGTTCTCCTTTGCTAGGCAGAGAGATTCTCACTTGAGTTCCGCAAAACCCCAAACCTTTCCTGCTTTTCTCCAGTGTCAAATATACCCAGTGTTGTTGTACCCGATATCGATGTCTATACTCCAGGCATACTTCTTCTTATCTCCTTAGCAGGAAAAGAAACCTACATTCATTTGCACTGCTGGGATGCCACAAGCAAAGTCTACGAAAGTGAGTTTGGACAGCACTGTGAACCCTATGGGCCACCCTCGCGGAAACCAGCTTCTAAGTGGCAATCACTGAGCTGTTGTAACACATCCTGAAACTGCTTTTCTCGCTATGCTTGCTTCAATACTTCTGCCATCAGCATTTGCCTTAGGACATGGTACCATGATATCATTAATGCATCCAGCATGCTCTCCTACTGTGCTGAAGGATGTTACCCCCCACATATTAGACTGAAAGAGTCTGTCCTCATCCATCCTCATTAAGAATCCCAAGTTATTTCTTTGCTAATCTTAAAGGAGCTTTTCATGCTACAGCAATTTATAATCCCAAAGGAAGCTGAATAGGGGAGTTAAAGTCATGGATACTTGCTTTTCATTTAATTGTTGAAACACAGGTATGGAAATTAAGAGAACATGAGCATATTTGATATAGCTAATAATTTAAAGCCAGGGAGAAGAGTACAGAGGAGGAACGGCATTCC